CCAAGGCCAAGACCATAACAGGGTTAAAAAAAGAACTAGATATGTTCATGGAGGATAGGTCCATCAATGGCTATTAGCCAGGATGGGCAGGAATGGTGTCCCTAGCCTCTGTTTGCTAGAAGCCGGGAATGAGCAAAGGGATGGATCATTTGATGATTACCTGTTCTGTTTATTCCCTCTGGGGCACCTTGCACTGGCCACTGTCGGAAGACAGGATACTGCGCTAAATGGACCTTTGGTCTGACCCAATAGGACCGTTCTTATGTTCTTATCAGTCAAGCTGTTTCCCAAAACCATGCCCAATGGTTCTTTCTTTCCAGATGTTCCCTTTCCTTCTAACATAATTTCTCACTCGACCAGGTCACCAGCCTCAACCCTGAGTCCCAGTAACAAAATTTATAAGTAAATTGACTTGTGGACTAGGACATGGGGAAATTACAGGCTTCTACCCTGCCACGCCATCCTCCCTTCTTGCACAGCAAATCGTTTATACCAGTTGTCCTCGCCTCTCCACGTCTCCTGGCAACTGGCTCACTAAATCTGTTACCATGCAGTGTTAGGAACAAATCAATGGGGACATAGCTCCTGTGTCTGATAAATGATTGGTATAAACAAGAGTGCTTTTACCTAAAACTACTTTTTAATGGGGTTTCAAGCAGACACACACACACACACTGTCGAAGTAAGTTCAGAGCATCCCAAACATTTATATTTACCCAAAGTTTGAAATGGTTTTGAGGAATCAGCAACCAGTCTTCTGTCCAGGGGCCCTCCTTCTGTCCAGTTGCTGAGGAGTTTAGGTGCCAGAACCTTACTGAAAGAAAAGCTTTCTCTGACTGCTCCAAAGTTTATTATTTGCCTAATTTTTTATAGTTAACTTAAGCAAAGCACATAACTCATAGTGACTCTTAGTGGGTCACCAATTTTCCTAATTTTAGCGAACTACTAATTTTTTATTAAAACATTTTTAGTATTTTTAGTTATAACAACAATAAAACTTATATATTAGGGACACTTAACCAAGGTTGACTGTCCAAACATTCCTTTTATTTTTATGGTATATTAATTTTTTTGTTTAATGTATTTCATTCTAATTAGCAAAACTCCAAACAAGGAGCTTTTAACCTTGCCTTTCAGAACCTAAAATTATCTCTAGCTATGTAGTATTTGGTTTTCAGCTAGCAATAGCTAAACACAGAAAAATGATTAACTGCAGTAATATCGCATTCTGGGATACATACAGTAATGTCAAATTCTGAGGTTACACATTGACCTGGATAGGAAAGCCTGACAGGCTAGGTGGACAGTCCGTAGCTCCCTGATGTTGATATATAGAGACTGGTCCTTTGAGAACCATAAACTCTGAGTTTGGAGGGGACCCAGATGAGCCTCCCACTCCAGGGCAGATGCATCCATCACCAATATCAGCAAAGGTTTAGGGCGAACAAAGGGAATGCCTGCACATACACTGACTGGGTCTGTCCACCAATCTAGAGAATACTTAAGAGGGCACATTCAGGACTGAGTTCACATGGTGACAACTTGGCAAAAAAAACAGAAGACAGTCAACTTTAAAGATTCCTCAGATGCATTCTCGCATACCTATGAATATGCAAAAAGCCATACGCCCCCAGAGCCTAATGCAGTTTTGAGCTCTTGTGACTGGGTGAGCCTTGAGATCTGCAACAAGAGATCAAATTGTTTGGAACTTTGTGTCTAGAAGGAAAGCTCTTGAATAGAATCCAGTACTGCTCCTATAAAATCTGTCTTCTAAACTGGACAAAAGAGAGATTTCTATAAATTGATCAGTAGACCCAGAGCTTCAAACGTTGACTGGATGAGAGAGACACTGAACAATAACTGAGTCCTGGACCAGCTTCTTACACTAGCCAGTCATCCAGATAAAGATAAACTTGAACTCAGCCTCCTCAAGAAAGCAGTGATCACTGTCATATGGTGAAAACCCGAGAAGTTGCTGACAGGCCAAAGGGCAACATGGTGAAGGGCTAATGAGAGTGCTTCACTACAAATCTGAGATACATTCTGTGACCTTGATAAATTGCCACACGAAAATAGACATCTTTTAAGTTGAGGGCAGCATTCCAATCTCCAGGATCCAAAGAGGGAATAATGGAAACCAGGGTGATCATGCAAAACTTTTATCTTTGTGAGATATCTGTTCAGCTGGCACAGATCTAAAATTGGTCAAGACCTCCCTTTGCTTTTGGGATTAGGAAATAATAGTAATAAACCTCTTCCCTCTTGAGACAGTGCAGAATGTCCTCTATGGTTCCTACACAAAGGAGAGAATGAAGCTCCTGGGGGAGAAGGTCCTTGTGAGAGTGGTCCCTGAAGAGGAACAGGCAGGGAAGGGCAGAAACAAACTGGAGGGTATATCCCACTTCCACAGTGCTTAAGACCCATCGGTCTGAAGTAATCCAGGACTATGCACTGAGGAAGTGGGAAAGATGGCTTACAAACATGAGGGAGACGGAATCTGGCATCCTGGAAAGTGGGGTGATGTCCTCAACCAAGTTATCAAAACATCTGTTTAGCACCACCTGGCTGTTTAGATGGAGCAGGCGTTGATGCAGATGCAGAAGGAGGAAGTGGTTTATTATAACCTCTACTTTTCTTTCTTTGCAGGTCCTAACAAGGAGCAGGGGCAGAGTAACAGTGGGTCTGCTGCAGGTAAAAATGTTTCCTAGACAGGGCTGGAATATACAACCCCAAAGACTTTAAAGTTGCCCTACAATCCTTCACCCATGGAGCTTGGAGTCTGTTTCCACCAAAAAAATGAAGACTCTACAAAAGGCAGGTCTTGTATTGTTTGTTGGACCTCTTGTGCAAGCCCCAGGGCCTGCAGCCAAGAGCTCTTGTGCATGGAAACTGCAGAGGCCATGATGATCCTAGGAGCTGAATCTGCTGCATTTAGTCTAGCCTAGAGGGAAGTTCTCGCTCCAGATTTCCACTCATCATATAAAGAGAACTCTACTCTAGCATCCTCCAGCAATATGTCCCTAAACTTTAACATGGACTTGCAAACATTATAATCATAACATCCCAAAAGAGCCTGTTGGCTGGCAATTCTGAGTTGTAACCCCACATTAGAATAAACTTTTCTACCAAATAAATCTAGCTTCTCAGATCTTTGATTTGGGGGTTCGCCCTGGAACTCCCTTTCATTCGCTGCTAACACCAAAGGAGGGCGTGAGATGCCTCCCAAGGAAACTGCCTCATCAGGAAAAGAGGAGGATGAAGCCAGCCTAGGCTGAGGCTATTCCTCCTCTGCTAGCTGTCAAGCAGGGCCCTCCTGAACCATCTTTTCCTGCTCAGAAATGGGCCTGGTACCAGGGTCAGGAACAGGTGGTACCTAGAAAGTAGACTTCCCATGCTTCTCTGAAGTCACAGAGCAGGAACACCTCATGTATGACCTAGAAATCAGGGGGGGATCCTCATGGGTTCCAACAGGGCCACTGGACCAATAGCAGAGGCAGCTCTACCGATTTTGCTGCCCCAAGCAGTCACCACGAATTGCCACTGCCACAACAGCGGCGGAAGTGCCACCGAATTGCTGCTGCCCCCGCCCCCACAAGAGCAGTGGAGCTGCCGCCCAAAAGCCGCCGCAGCGGGAAGAGCGGTGGAGCTGCCGCCACTGAGGGACACGGACTGCCGCCCCGTTCTGAATGCCGCCCCAAGCACCGGCCTGGAAAGCTGGTGCCTGGAGCTGGCCCTGACCAGTAGGAAGACCCAGTGACTCCCTGACCACATGCCTGATCCTCTTCCAGCTGGAGGATTTCAAAGAAAACTAGGGAAGTAACACCTAAGTGGGGAGTAGTGTGACTGGCTCCAAGGCTGGGAAATGTAAGAGCCAATCTCCAAATCAGAGGAGTACAAATCACCTTCTGCTGATCAACGGGGAGCTGCTCCTGATGGTGCCAGAAACTAGTGCCCAGTCAGTGAAGAGTGGAGAGCAGCCAATGCTGCAGGCATCCCATTCAACAGTACCAACGGGCGTGAAGTTTGAGACACTGGAGGTTGTTGCAGTACCAACTACTGCACCAACAATACTGGTGACCCTCTGGGGTCATCCCATTCAACTGTACCTGGGGCGTGATCTCCTGCAGTGCCAGGGACACCATCACAGATAGGCTCTGCAGATCTCTGCCACAAACACCTCTGATGCGGTGGATGCCAAGATGGTCTCGGGTCACTGTGGTACTGTGGTCAAGTCCAGGTGCCCCTTCAGTACCTGGACTTGACATTATTTGCCTCAGGGCTGGAGTCAACATTGGTGATTTTGGAGCTACCAGAGAAGAGTGCTTGGATTTTGGCTGCACTCTACTCTCATCCCTCTACTTAGAGAATTTTGATGCCAGAGACCTTCCTCTCCCAGTTGTCTGTTTAGAGGTCTTACGCCTCTTTTTAGATACTGGAGAGGGTGAGCAGTGCCAGGAAGGGTAAATGAAAATAAAGGAGTATATTTGCACAGATAAAATGTATATCTGTATTTGGCACAACATTTATTAGACTAGTTTTCAAGACCACTGCCTTATATCCAAAGTCTGTTTCCCAATATGGTAAAGAAATACATAGTTCAACACATGTTACATTTGCTTTATGTAGAAGGTCTGGAGTGTGATCAGCACTTTCTACAGACATCTGTCTACACAGAATTTTCAAATCTGTGTCCAAATAGTGTGGTAACTCAAAAGCACAGCTGAAATCAGTTTAAATGCAACTATGTATTATTACCTGAAAAAAAATGTTTACAATTAAGTTAAAGTCACTGGAGTAGTTCTGAGGGAAAAAAGGAAAAATAAAAGACTCTAAGTGCATGAGCAACAGCAGTCATACAGGAAGTGGCTCAGGTGAGCCTCAGACTGCAACCATGTAATTCACAGCCTGCACAAAGCATTTAGTTTATCTAATAAATAAAATTGGAAGAGAAGGGGCTCTAGGTAATTCCCTAGAAATAGAAAAGTCTATTCTAATCTTACCTTTGAGTCATATGCTGACTGTTTTATTACTTCAGGTGCCATCCAGAATGGAGTTCCCACAAAAGTATTTCTCTTTATCTGTGTATCTGTTAGTTGTCCTGCTACTCCGAAGTCTGCTAATTTTACCTCTCCTTGTTCAGATAGCAAAACATTGGCAGCTAGCAAAGAAAAAAAGGCAGTTTAAAAGTTTACATTTTTGATGTTTCAAAGGTTTTCCTTATCTCTACTGTCTGAACATTTAACCAAAACTATTTTAAAAAAATGATTAAATAACTTACCCTTAATATCTCTATGGATTTTCTTTTCTGAATGCAAGTAATCGAGTCCTTTAAGTATCTCTCTTAATATTGTAGCAATCTGGATTTCATCGAGACAGCCAGGCTCTAACTAGGAGAAACAAGCAAAAAATATTTGTAAATACCTGTAAACTACAAATGAGATGACACAGAAACAGTAGGAAAAAATAAACAGTAGGAAAAAATGCCATATGTGCTTGTGAATAAGTAAAAGTAGTTAATGTTTTATGTTTTATTGCTTTTGATGCTAATTTTCTCTCTCCTTCATTCATAGTGTAATCACCTGCTCCTTCTTCTCTCCCTCTCCTTCTCCCCCTGCCCCTGTTGTGCATAAATCTGCTCACCCAGGGGAAAGAGTTACCTGCATTCTAATAAATTGAGATGTTCAAGTGTTCAATTCCTAGTCACAACAGCAGGTGGCAATTTTCAAGTTTTGCTACTTCCTTTTTGCTGTCCAACCCCCACTACCGGACCAAATATGAGTGTATGGCATGAGGATTTAACAGGGATAAGAAATAGAGGACAGCCTGGCAACACAGAGCTGACTAGGAGGTAAGGTATGAGAGCAATGAAAATGAGATCAGCAGAGCACTAGGTGAGCAGCAGGGCAAACTGGGGCCAAGCTGGTAAGGAAGAGCGTGTCCATCGAGCCCAAACTACCTGGGGATCCAAGCCACAGTGGGAGACCCAGACACAAGAGGAAACCAGGCTTGGCAGGAGATTTGACCACACTGGAGACAGCCTGGTGCCTTATTATACATCAGAGTGAGAAAAGGGAAGGGAAGAGGGGACAAAAATTTAGGACAGTATGGTGGTGGTGACCAGGAAGATATTTGTCATTCAGGCTGCCAGTCTACTTCCCATCTTAAAAATAGGGATGTAAAAGTTTAACCAGCTAACTGATGAGCCCAGTCTTATTGGTTTCAGTTAATGACTAAAACTCATCTGCCCCCCATGCTTGGGGTCCTGGTGGCCGGGACCCCACACGCAGGGTAGGAACCCAGGTGCGGGGAGGCAGCGGAGCCCCATGTAAAACGTGGGAGTCCTCCCCCACACACCACCCCTAGTTCCCCGCCTTTGTGAACTCCTTAATGGTTAACCATTTAACCGATAGAATTTTAATCGGTTAAATGGTTACTATTTTTAAACCCTAATTACATCCCCACTTAAAAAAAAAAACAAACAAAAAAATCCCAAATGAAATTAGAAATTTGGAATGATTTCATATGTTCATTGTAAAACAAATAAAAAACCTTAAAACGCACAAAAACCGTGTATGTGAGAGGATTCTTTTCCCCCCTTTTACACTTTCAGTGGTCTACAGACACAGTATTACCTTATAGCATGCATGCAGTGGGTTTTTCAAGTCATATATAAAACAACAAATAGTAAGTGTAAATGAAAGAAGAGCTACCCATTGCTCCCTTATGCAACCTCCCCTCAAATTTTTCACTGACACATTTTGCTTTCATCTACATTATTTGCAGTTAGTAAAAAACCAACATTTTTGTGGCAAAATATCACTGCCCAACTGCCATAATATAAAGGGAAGGGTCACCACCTTTCTATATACAGTGCTATAAAATCCCTCCTGGCCAGAGACAAAATCCTTTCACCTGTAAAGGGTTAAGAAGCTAAGGTAACCTCGCTGGCACCTGACCCAAAATGACCAATGAGGGAACAAGATACTTTCAAATCTGGAGCAGGGGGAAAGTTTTTGTCTGTGTGATACCTTTGCCGGGAACAGATCAAGGATGCAAACCTTCCAACTCCTGTAAAGTTAGTAAGTAATCTAGCTAGAAAATGAGTTAGATTTTCTTTTGTTTAATGGCTTGTAAAATTCACTGTGCTGGAGGGAATGTGTATTCCTGGTTTTGTGTCTTTTTGTAACTTAAGGTTTTGCCTAGAGGGATTCTCTACGTTTTGAATCAGATTACCCTGTAAAGTATTTACCATCCTGATTTTACAGAGGTGATTCTTTTACTTTTTCTTCTATTAAAATTCTTCTTTTAAGAAAGTGAACGCTTTTTCATTGTTCTTAAGATCCAAGGGTTTGGGTCTGTGTTCATCTGTAACAATTGGTGAGGATATTATTATCAAGCCTTCCCCGGGAAAGGGGGTATAGGGCTTAGGGGGATATTTTGGGGGAAGACATCTCCAAGTGGGCTCTTTCCCTGTTCTTTGTTTAAATCACTTGGTGGTGGCAGCATACTGTTCAAGGACAAGGCAAAGTTTGTACCTTGGGGAAGTTTTTAACCTAAGCTGGTAAGAATAAGCTTAGAGGGTCTTTCATGCAGGTCCCCACATCTGTACCCTACAGTTCAGAGTGGGGAAGGAATCTTGACACCAACCAGCTCTAATATTTCTAAACTGCATTTTTAAAATATCCATATTTGTAGCAGTAAACATGCAACAATCTGCAGTTTTCAAAAAGCTTTGCTTTCCCTGTTGAATGTTCAAGTAAAATGCCAAATTGGGTCTATCAATATCAAGAACAAAATTTCGCTAAGTTCAAAGAATTCATAGAAACATATGGCTAGAGGGGACCTCTTGAGGTCATCTATACCATCCTCCCCTATGCTGAGGTAAGGGATACCTAAACCATCCCTGACAGGTATTCTTCCAACCTACAACCTTGCTTGGCAACTTATTCCAATACTTAATTATCCTTATACTTAGAAAGTTGTTTCTAGTATCTAAGCTAAACTTCCCTTGCTGCAGATTAAGTTGATTACTTCTTGTCCTACCTTCAGTGGACATGGAAAACTAATTTGTACTCATGAATGAGATAGATGTATTGAATTAATGAAACTTGAAATGCTAATAAAAATAAGGCTAAAGTCAAAAATGTATTTTATTCATTTGTCAATTGCAGTTTACTTTTAAGTATTTATGATACCTTTAAATGCACTACTAAATGTACTTTAGTATATATTACATAATTACATTTGAGTAATACAAGATATCATAACAGCATCAGATATTACAATTTTAGAAAATAAGACTGGGCATACTGGGTCAGACCAATGGTCCATTTAGCCCAGTATCCTGTCTTCCGACAGTGGCCAACGCCAGGTGTTTCAAAGGGAATGAACAGAACAGGCAATCATCGAGTGATCCATCCAGGCGTCCACAGCTTCTGGCAAACAAAGGCTAGGGACACTCAGGGCATGGTGTTGCGTCCCTGCCCATCCCAGTTAATAGCTATTGATGGACCTATCCTCCATGAATTTACCTACTTCTTTTTTTAACCTTGTTATAATTTTGGCCTTCACAACATCCTGTGGCAGCAAGTTCCAAAGACTGAGTGTGTCTTATTGAAGAAGTACTTCCTTTTGTTTGTTTTAAATCCACTGCCTATTAATTTCATTGGGTGACCCATAGCTCTTGTTTTATGTGAAGGAGTAGATAACATTTCCTTATTCACTTTCTCTATACCAGTCAAGATCTTATAGATCCCCTATCATATCTCCCTTAATCGTCTCTTTTCCAAGGTGAACAGTCCCAGTCTTTTTAACCTCTCCTCATACGGAGGCTGTTCCATACTCCTAATCATTTTATTGCCCTTTTCTGTACCTTTTCCAATTCCAATATATCTTTTTTTGAGAGAGGGCAATCAGATCTGAATGTAGTATTCAAGATGTGGGCATACTTTGCATTGATATAGAGGCACTATGATATTGTTTGTTTTATGATCTATCCCTTTAGTAATTGTTCCTAACATTGTTAGCTTTTTTGACTGCTGCTGCACAGTGAACAGATGTTTTCAGAGAACTATCCACAATGACTCCAAGATCTCTGTCTTAAGTGATAACAGCTAATTTAGAAACTATCATTTTGCCTTTATAGCTGGGATTAGGGTTTCTAATGTTCATTACTTTGCATTTATCAATATTGAATTTCATCTGCTACTTTGTTGCCCAGTCAGCCAGTTTTGGGAGATCCCTTTGTAACTCTTCACAGTCAGCTTTGGACTTAACTTTCATGGAGGAAAGGACCATCAATGTCTATTAGCGAGAATGGGCACAGATGGTATCCCTAGCCTCTGTTTGCCAGAAGCTGGGAATGGGGGACAGGGGATGGATCACTTGATGATGAAAACACTGTTCTGTTCATTCCCTCTGGGGCACCTGGCATTGTCCACTGTCGGAAGACAGGATACTGGGCTAGATGGACCTTTGGTCTGACCCACTATGGTTGTTCTTATGTTCTTGAGTAATTTAGTATTGTCTGCAAACTTTACCACCTCACTGCTTAACGCCTTTTCCAGATTTTTATGAACAGCACTGGTCCCAGTACAGATCCCTGGAGGACCAAGCTATTTACCTCTCTCTGCTGTGAAAACTGACCATTTATTCCTACCCTGTTTCCTATCTTTTAAACAGTTACTTATCCATGAGAGAACCTTTCCTCTTATTCCATGACTGCCTACTTTGCTTAAGAGCCTTTGGTGAGGGACCTTGTCAAAGGCTTTCTGAAAGTCCAAGTACACTATATCCACTGGATCACCCTTGTCCACATGTTCGTTGACCACGTCAAGGAATCATAGAAGATTTGGGTCGGAAGAGACCTCAGGAGGTCATCTCGTCCAATCCCCTGCTGAAAGCAGGACCAACACCAACTAAAGCATCCCAGCCAGGGCTTTGTCAAGATGGGCCTTAAAAATCTCCACCACCTCCCTAGACAACCCATTCCAGTGCTTCACCACCCTCCTAGTGAAATAGCGTTTCCTAATATCCAACCTAGACCTCCCCCACAGCAACCTGAGACCATTGCTCCTTGTTCTGAGAACAGCCGAACTCCATTCGCTTTGGACCTCCCCCCTTCAGGTAGTTGAAAGCTGCTATCAAATCCCCTCTCACTTTTCTCTTCTGCAGACTAAATAAGCCCAGTTCCCTTAGCCTCTCCTGTCATGTGCCCCAGCCCCCTAATCATTTTTGTTGCCCTCCGCTGGACTCTCTCCAATTTGTCCACATCCTTTCTGTAGTGAGGGCCCGAAAACTGTACGCAATACTCCAGATGTGGCCTCACCAGTGCCCAATAGAGGGGAATAATCACTTCCCTCGATCTGCTGGCAATGTTCCTACTAATGCAGCCCGATATGCCATTAGCCTTCTTGGCAACAAGGGCACACTGTTGACTCATATCCAGCTTCTCGTCCACTGTAATCCCCAGGTCCTTTTCTGCAGAACTGCCGCTTAGCCAGTCGGTCCCCAGCCTGTAGGAGTGCATAGGATTCTTCCGTCCCAAGTGCAGGACTTTGCACTTGTCCTTGCTGAACCTCATCAGATTTCTTTTAGCCCAATCCTCCAATTTGTCTAGGTCACTCTGGACTCTATCCCTACCCTCCAGCATATCTACCTCTGCCCCCAGTTTAGTGTCATCCACGAACTTGCTAACAGTGCAATCCATCCCAACATCCAGCTCATTAAGGCATCATTAAGGAATTCTAATAGATTGCTGAAGCATGATTTCCCTTTACAAAAGCCAGGTTGTGATTCTTTGCTGCAGGGAGAACCAATTTTTGTATGGACTAGATAAAAAGCATGTCGTTCTGTGAAGTGTTTTATAGCAAGGTTCTATTGTATTTAATCACCGAAAATATACACATCTAACACCCACAATGCAAGATTGTTTCAAAGGACATATCTACCAACACTGCAAGGGAAGAGGGAAATTACATCACTACGTCCATTCAATGAGACTACAGACAGGGTGCTTTGTTTTTTAAAAAATGTGTACACTAAGAAACAAATGTACGAGTACCATGAAGAGCCAGCAGACAGTAACAACCTTCAGTCATTAATATTCTAGGGTAGGCTGAAGGTCAGAGTTTTGAGATGAAAGTTTTCATATCTCATTACTAACATCCTGAGTTACCTAGCCTTTTTGCACATGAGGTCATTTCATGGAAAATGTATTTTAATTCATATATGAACACAAACATTTTCTTCTAACTACTAGGAATTTCTGCATGAAAACAGGGCTTTTGTTTCTTAATACATCTGGTTATGCTGCTTTATTTCTCTACTGAAGCAATAATCCTGTGTTTGACAGCACAACTGCTATAGCAATAATGATGTCCCACTAGGATTTCAGGTGAATTATAAACAGCAGAAATATTCAAGAAATGCATTAATGAAATTTTAACTAAGTTTACTAAATTAATGTAGTTCATAACTAGTTTACTTACTAGATCAAGAGCAGAGCCTCCACCAAGGTATTCCATTATTATCCATAATTTTGTATCCTGCAAAAACAGAACAGATTAAATTAGTAGCTTCACACTTTAGTTTCTTTCATGATTTGCTTCACACATTTTGCTGCAAAATGAATTCTGTAGCATTATTATAGTAAAGATGTAATGGCACAGAATTTCACTCAACTATAATCTGTCATGGCAGAAAAATACTGCCTCTGCTCCACATTTTTATTTATTTGATGATAACATACACTGACTTCATTCCATTTTATTCATTTTTTTCCATCTTAGATTTTACATCCTTATTTCCATACACTGTCTTGTCCTATATCTTCTAGGAACATAGGAACTACCATATCTGAATAGACTAGTGGTCCACATGAAATAGTCAGGTATTATGTTTCCATAACAGCCAAACACAGATGGATCAGAGGAAGGTGTAGACACCTTAACATTGCTACAGTATACCACTCAGGGGAGTAGGAGATTTCTCTCTAATGCAAGCTAATGAAAACCATCTGGAGCAGTAGGGAAGTCCTAGCTAGTTGAACTACACATATAAAGAAGAGTATTACAAGTGTCTAATCCAGTGTTTCTCAACCTGAAAAGTAGGGGGCACAGGACAGAAGAGAGGACTTGTGAACAATGAAAATAAAACAATACAAATATGCTCCAGAGGCTTGAGACAAAGTAGCTTATGGTTTCCCAAGAGTCATGTACTGTCCCTCCCTGCTCTTATAACAGCCCTTAACGTAGTTCATTGCAGAAGTAGCTAATATTCTTTGACCCCCCCAAAAAAGTAGTTAACACCAATTAAAGATGCCCAGTGGTATATTGTGCCTTCCCAGAAAAAGTTACTCACCTGGTCCAATAATGATGGTTCTTCGACATGTGTGTCCCTATGGGTAAGGGGTTCTCAAACTGAGGGTTGGGACTCCTCAGGGAGTCGCAAGGTTATTACATGGGGCAGGGAGGTGTCGTGAGCTGTCAGCCTCCACCCCAAACCCCACTTTGCCTCCAGCATTTATAATGGTGTTACATATATTTAAAAAGTGTTTTTAATGTATAAGGGGCGGGGGTCGCATTCAGAGGCTTGCTGTGTAAAAGGGGTCACCAGTACAAAAGTCTGAGAACCCCTGCTATGAGTGCTCCACTGTAGGTGCACTTGCATCCCTGCACTGCTGATTGGAGAAAAGTGCCAGCACAGCCTAATCCCCCTGAGGTCCTTCTCCACCGCAGAGTCATTGACAAGAACTCTGAAGCAGACGGCAAGAGGGTGGGTTATGGGTCACCCATAGGGACACACATCTCAAAGAACCATCGTTATTGCACAAAGTGAGTAACTTCTTCTTTGAGTAGCGTCCCTATGGATACCTCACTGTAGGTGGCTCCTGAGCAGTATCCCTACCAGAGGGCTGGGGCTTCGGGGTCGGGTCAGTTACAGATAACAATACTGTGGACCCAAAAATGGCATTGGAGGCAGAGTCCCCAGTGATTGCATAATGTTCTGCAAAGGTGTGGATTGACATCCATGTTGCCGCTCTACAGATTTCTGAGATAGGGACATTCTAGAAGAAGGCGACTGATAAGGAGTTCGGCCTCGTGGACTGCGTGCAAATACTATCTGGTGGGGTAATGTTAAAGATCTGATATCATCTAAGGCAGTTTGAGACCTATTTGGAGAGTCTCTGGGCTATACTGCTTAGTCCTTAGATCTGTCTGCAATAGAGAGGAAAAGTTTAGGGGATTTCCTGAAAGCCTTCATCCTATGCAGGTAAAAGGCTAGGGCTCTCCTGACATCTAGTGTGTACAATATAGCTTCCCTGCAGTCATGGTGAGGCTTGGGGTAGAAAATTGGAAGATGAACCAGTTGGTTCATGTGAAACGGGGAGGTTACCTTAGTGATTAATTTTGGTTGTGGCCAGAGTATAACCTTGTCCCAAAAGAATACTGGGGGGATGGGTCATCAGAGCTGCTATTTCTCCTAATCTCCTAGCTGAAGTGATTGCTGTCAGGAAATCTATTTTCATTGAAAGGTATGTAAGCAAGCAAATGGCCATAGGTTTGAAGGGAGGTATAGTCAGGCCTTTCAATACCAGGTTTAGGTCCCACATGGGAGTAGGATGTCAGGGTTGTGGGAAAAGGTTTACTATACCCATAAGGAATTGTTTACTGGTTGGCACTGAATATTAGCACTGAATATTCCTCTACTTGACGGTGAAAGGCTGCTATAGCTGCGAGGTGGACCGTGCGGGAACAGAGATAGTACTGAATTTTTTAGAGTTAGTACATAGTCTGGGATCTTTGGAAGAGTCACGGGTGTCAGAGAGATATGTTGGGAGATACGCCATTTTCGAAACCTGGACCATTTACGTAGGTAAGTCCAGCATGTTGAGGACCTTCTACTATGTAATAATACCTCCTGTACCTCCTTTGAGCAGGAGCTCGTGTGTTCAACCATGAAGGAGCCAGGCTTTGAGGCAAAGAATCCTGAGGTTGGGATATAGGGTGCGTCCTTGGTTCTTCGAGAGGAAGTAAGAAGTGGATTGGAGAGAAATTGGTGGGCACGCCATGAGTTGTGACAGGTAAGGATACCAAGTCTGTCTTGGCCAAGTAGAAGCAATCAGCTCCTTCTCTTTTTATTATTAATAGGACTTTTGACAGTAGGAGAAATGGAGGAAAAGCATAGAGAAGGTCCCTGCCCCAGAGGAGGAGGAGAGAATCACCCATGGAATGCTGTCCCATGATCGGGATCAAAAGCATGGACATTTCTCGCTCAAGCAAGTGGCAAACATGTCTGTGGTCGGTGTCCCTCACTGCCTGAATAGGTTATGAAGTACCGCTGAGTTTATCTCCTACTTGTGATCGAGTAGGAATTTCCCAATGAGACTGTCCATTATCAAGTTCTGAGTGCCTGGAAGGTAAGTGGCTGATAGTATGACATCCTGGGAGATACACCAGTTCCACAGTCTCATTGCCTCAGCATAGAAAGAGGGATGATCTGCCTCCCCCTTGCCGATTTACATAGTACATACATGCTATGTTTTCTGTTAGGACTCTCGTGTGTGATCCCTTGATCAGTCAGAGGAAATGGGCACTAGCATCCCTGAGTGCCCTTAGTTTGAGGAGGATGATGTGGAGGGATATCTCCATGGATGACCACCTGGCCTTTTGCTGTGAAGTCATTTAGATGCATGTCCCATTCTATGAGGGATGTGTCAGTGATTAGAAGCAATGATAGGGAGATTTGTGAAAAGGGGATACCCTTGAAAACATTTGCTGGGTCTTTCCACACATCTAAGGACTTTTTGATCCTGGTGGGGTAGTGACAGACATTTGTCTAGCCTATCTGTTTGGCCTGTACACTGAACTGAACCAAAACTGGAAGCATCGCATGTGAAGCGTCACATGTGGTATTACCACTGTGGCAGCTGCCATATGACCCAAGAGTTGCAGGCAGTGCCTGGCTCATATTTGTGGGCTGTCTATATGAGTGAGGCCAAAGAGAGGAATCTGGGTTGAGGTACATAAGAACAGAAGAATGGACCTACTGGGTTGGACCAAAGGTCCATCTAGCCCAGTATCCTGTCTTCCGACAGTGGCCAGTGCAAGGTGCCCCAGAGGGAATAAACAAAACAGAGTTTTCATCATCAAGTGATCCATCCCCTGTCGCCCATTCCCAGCTTCTGGCAAACAGAGGCTAGGGACACCATTCCTGCCCATCCTGGCTAATAGCCATTGATGGACCTATCCTCCATGAACATATCTAGTTCTTTTTTTAACCTGTTATGGTCTTGGCCTTGGCCTTCACAACATCCTCTGGCAAGGAGTTCCACAGGTTGACTGTGCGTTGTGTGAAGAAATATTTCCTTTTATTTGTTTTAAACCTGCTGCCTATTAATTTTCACTTGGTGACCCCTAGTTCTTGTATTATGAGAAGTAAACAACACTTCTTTATCTATTCTCCACACCAGTCATGATTTTATAGCCCTCAATCATATCTCCCCTTAGCAGTCTCTTTTCCAAGCCCAGTCTTGGAAAAGTCCCAGGCTTATTAATCTCTCCTCATATGGAAGCCGTTCCCTTCTCCTAATCATTTTTGTTGCCCTTTTCTGAACCTTTTCCAATTCCAATATATCTTTTTTGAGATGGGGCGAGCACATCTGCACACAGTATTCAAGATGTGGGTGTACCAAGGATTTATATAGAGGCAACATGATATTTTCTGTCCTATTATCTATCCCTTTCTTCATTATTCCCAGCATTCTGTTCACTTTTTTGACTGCCATTGCACATTGAGTGGATATTTTCAGAGAACTATCCACAATGACTAGAAGATCTCTTTCTTGAGTGGTAACAGCTTATTTAGACCACAACATTTTATAAGTATAGTTAGGATTATGCTTTCCAAGGTGCATTACTTTGCAATTAACATTATATTTCATCGGCCATTTTATTGCCCAGTCACCCAGGTTTGAGAGATCCTTTTGTAACTCATCACAGTCTGCCTGGGTCTTAACTATCTTTAGTAATTTTGTATTATCTGCAAATTTTGCCATTTCACAGTTTCCCCCTTTTCCCAGATCCTTTATGAATATGCTGAATAGGACTGGTCCCAAGACAGACCCCTGGGGGACACCATTATTTACTTCTCTCCATGCTGAAAACTGATCATTTATACCTACCCTTTGTTGCCTATCTTTTAACCAGTTACTAATCCATGACAGAACCTTCCCTCTTATCCCGTGGCAGCTTACTTTGCATAAGAGCCTTTTGTGAGGGACCCTGTCAAAGGCTTTTTCAAAATCTAAGTATAGTATATCCACTGGATCGCCTTGGTCCTCATGCTTGTTGAACCACTCAAAGAATTCTAGTAGATTGGTGAGGCATAATTTCCCTTTACTAAAACCATGTTGACTCTTCCTCAACGAATTATCTGACAATATTGTTCTTTATTATAATTTCAACCAGTTTGCCCAGTACTTAAGTCAGGCTTACAAGCCTGTAATTGCCGGGATTACTTCTGGAGCCCTTTTTAAAAATTGGCG